CCAGGAGGTGGTGTGCTGCACTGTCTCTGTGGGTGCAGGTGTGAGTTCCAGTTTGGGCAGCAGTGCTGGTACTTCTGCCCCATTGGAGATCTTGTGTACTTTTCCGGCGTGGGTTACTGTGAGGAGTCGTGGCAAGCCCCAGCGGTATGGTATCCCTATGTTGCGTAGTTGGTTGGTGAGGTGGCTCAAGGACTTGCGCCACTGGAGCGTGGCTCGAGTTAAGTCCTGGAAGAAGAGTAAGTGTGAGTTCACAAATGTGAGAGGTGTTTTACCTCGGAGTGCTGACATGATTTGGGTCTTGTCGTGGGTGGTGGTGCAGCGGACTATTAAGTCTCTGGCATTTTTGGCGGGTGCGTTAGGTGGAGTTGGGAGACGGTATATCCCTTCCAGGGTGATTTTCCGGGCCGCAGCCGGGGGCACAAGAGTAGCCAGAAGTCTCCTTATATAGTGTTGCAGTTCTTCCACTGTTATGTCGCCTGGGATACCACAGATTTTAATGTGATCTTCCTGGGTGGACATCTGCAGCGTGAGTGGTGGTTGCGCTGTGTGTAAGTGTTGCATGTGGTCCTTCATAGTGGACATTCTGTTGGAATTTATTTATTTTAAACTTAAAAAAAACACACCAAAAAACAAAAGACAGAGCTCCATCAGGTCCTCTCTCCCTCCCTCCCCAGCCGGCGGCCTCATGTCTGCGCAAATGGGTCGGTGAGGGGGATCTTTGGTCTCCCCACCGGCCCGTCATGGAATGCAGCAGAGCCGGCACTCAAATAGCGTGGGCCCTGTATGGACCGACCATACATATTCAAGTTTATGAAGTTATTATGTGCCAGATTTTAAACATTTTCGACTTAACCATACATTGAAAATAATATCAGATGAAATGTATAGAACATGGAAGAGGTCAGCATTAAGTAAACTATAGCAAATTTATTATCTTTACTTTGCTTGTCAGCTTAAATGTAAGCTTTTGTTAAAAGAGTAATGTTTTAAAAAGCATAAAATATATGATAGAAATTATTTTTATAATTCCTAACATTGATTGACTTTTCACCCTTTATTTTATCTTGTAGATATACGAAAATGAAGACAGCCACAAACATCTACATTTTTAATCTTGCCCTAGCAGATGCTCTAGCAACAAGTACACTGCCATTTCAAAGTGTCAATTATCTGATGGGAACATGGCCTTTTGGTAACATTGTATGTAAAATTGTTATATCCATAGACTATTACAACATGTTTACAAGCATATTCACCCTAACTACAATGAGTGTTGACCGATATATAGCAGTCTGCCATCCAGTGAAAGCCCTTGATTTCAGAACACCAAGAAATGCAAAAATAGTTAATGTTTGCAACTGGATTCTTTCTTCTGCTATAGGCTTACCAGTGATGTTTATGGCAACCACAAAAACAGAAAAAGGCAAGTACAGATAGTTTTACCAACAAAAATATTTCTTAAAATACTTTAATTATCTTTCTCTGTCTGTCTGACTGTCTGTCTATCCAATTGTCTGTCTGTCTGTGTCTCTATCGTTCTATCTACCTTTTTATTATATCTATCTACCTTATCATTATCTATCTGCCCAAACATCTGACTGTCTGTAATCTTTCTATTCTGAATTTTATTCCAATTTGATCTATAAAGAAAGTTTTAGGTTCCAGAGCCCTTAAAAAATATATTTATTTAAACATACATACAGAATTAAAATGTGTTATTTATTTAAATACACACATAGAATGGAACATGTACCAAGAAATTTTTAAAATAAGATGATGTGTTTTTTGCATGTTTTTTAAAAAAAGTTAACAAATACTACCTTTACTTGTGAATTCAACAAAAAAGTAAATGTATTATAAATAATTATGTGTATCATAATTTCTACTTTGTGTGGTGGATATGTTGCAACATTTTTTTTTATGAATACAGCCTAGGTACAGTGCTTATATGCTATATGTATTTAAAATATATTATTAGAATTTCAATATCCATCCTACATAATTGACCTTTTCTAAAAACAAACAAACAAAAAAGCCATTTGGACTATAAACCAGCCCATCTACTAATATGTAAAGACATAGCATTTTTTTGTTATTTTGAAATTGTGCTTGTGGGACTAAAATAAATATTTTTTTAAATTTACCCGACTAGGCCTAAATTAACATATTGATAGAGTTATTTACTAACTTTCAAAATATAGGGAATTGTAATCTGAATGGCAAAACTGAGGCTTAAATATCCAAGCTGTTATATATAATTTTTGGAATGTTTCCTCATCAGCTATTTTAGATACATTTTGTGTTTTGGACTTTTATTCACTACAACAGTTTAATGAAATAACTCCTTAAGTGTTAAAAAGGATACACCATGATCAGAATTGGGTAATTGTATTCAAACATTCAATAACGGCACTATGATGATGATCTAAAAAAAAGTCTTTAAGTCAAAATTATTTTTGCATCTCTAAATATTAAAATGTATCCAATGACCTCTCCTTTTTAATAATTAAATATAATAATTAAAATTTTCCCATTTTGAAAGCCATACTGAAAATTGTACCCTTCAATTCTGACACTGAAGAAACACTGCAAAAAATGCCCTGACTCATACTTCAAAGGTCTTTCAAAATTGTAGCTGCTTTTTGCTGATTAAATCTGAAGGCAAACCTCATCGTACAAGGATGCATGCACAGCATTTTGGTTTGAAAGCTGCACATACAGAGATATCACTGTTAGCTATCCAGCAGATTCCTATAGTAGCTAGCCTAAACGAGAGTACTAGGCTTGATAATGTTAGTTCTGTGCATATTCTTTGCTAAAATAATCTACCGACTGACTGGAATGTTCAGCTACATAGTGCGTCAATTATGGCATCCTCAGCCTCATTCAACTAAAGGACCTTTTATTCCGTCTGTTGTCAATGAAATTTCTACCATTAAGTTAGTTACTAGCAAGACATTTGCACCAGAAGAAAACAGTTGCAAATTAGGGAAATCAAAATGTGTCTATGTTTGTAATCAGGAACAAAAACAAGATGCAGTCCAAGTATAATCTAGTTTAACATCATATTATATACAACACACAAAATAAAGCACTAATCCTTCTGCTACGAATCATGAATATTTCACAACAATATAAAAACTTTATGAGTAAGATACAATATGTTTCATTAAATTTAATGCTATTGAGTTTCGTGCTAATTAAAACTGGGCAATAATAAAAATTACGCTAATAAATGAGTTAAAATAACTGGTTAGTGCTGCAGTGATCCCATTTATTCTTAGCATTTATTTGACGTAGATAGGTTAAAAACAGGATCTTCTGCCTCCTATGCAATATTAACAGTATGTATTATATTCTTCATATTTTTGAAGTATCAACTTGAAAATTTAAAGTATCACATAGAATTACATCAAGTACAGTGTCAAAATCAACTTGAAACTTTCAGATTTAAAAGATTAAACCACATACCACTATGTTTATAAGGCATGTAGAGCTGATTTTCTATTTTTTGCATTGGGAGATTATGCTTTCCTCAGCTTTAAAACTTTAAATTTGAGCAAAAGAAAATATCTATACATCTACAACAAACTATATAGGGTTTGCTAGTAATATTGTCCTGCACATAGGAATTCTGAACTCTTTTTTAAAAAAGAATAAAAATTATTATTTTTTCTACCTTTTACCTAGGTTCTACTGATTGTGCTCTTTTATTTCCTCATCCTTCGTGGTACTGGGACAATCTCCTAAAAATATGCGTATTTATTTTTGCATTTATAATGCCAGTCTTAATTATAACTGTATGCTATGGAATGATGATACTACGCCTCAAGAGTGTACGCATGCTCTCGGGATCCAAAGAGAAGGACCGAAACCTGAGAAGAATCACCCGTATGGTCCTCGTTGTGGTTGCTGTGTTTATTGTCTGCTGGACCCCGATTCACATTTATGTTATTATCAAAGCTTTGATCAATATTCCTCCATCTCTCTTTCAGACAGTCACTTGGCATGTTTGCATTGCTTTAGGTTATACAAATAGCTGCCTTAATCCAGTCCTTTATGCTTTTCTTGATGAAAATTTTAAAAGATGCTTCAGAGAATTTTGCATCCCTACATCGTCGACCATCGAGCAGCAGAACTCTACACGAATGCGTCACAATACCCGTGATCATGTATCCACTGCCAATACTGTTGATAGGACTAATCATCAGGTATGACTAGCAGTGGAAATGTCATCTCTGAATTCAGGAGTTCCTGCAGGAGATGACATGACTTCAGAGGTTACTCAAATAACTACAGGGCTTTAATTAACTGATGATTAAAAAGAGTCTGATTGTGTTGGCAAACAGAATCTCCAAGCATGTTATGGTCATAGCCAAAAAGGGTAGTCTACTGAGTTGGTACATTCTCTAAAATTGCAACATGCCTGTTGCCCCTTAATCATTTAAGAAAGTGAACTTTTGTACAAATGTAAAATAATCAACTAAAGTATGAGCCATAGGGCATGTAAATGTAGACATTACTATATTACTTTAGTTAGTGGATTTCCAGTGATATATTACTGGTATAAGTTCTAAAAGAAATTGAATGAAAAAAATATAGATCTTTAAATTTGCATAAAGGTTTGAATGAAATTTAAAAGGGATCATACATATTAAAATTTAGCTATATGTGCTACACACATTTCTTTTCATAGTCGTTCTGGAAAGAAACATACCATAAAATGAAAATATAGTTTATCAGTAGTCACTAGTGATGTCCCGAACGGTTCGCCAAACGGTTTGTGAACGGTTCGCCTTGAACGGTTCGCCACGGACTCATCATTGAGTAAACTTTGACCCTGTACCTAACAGTCAGCAGACACATTCCAGCCAATCAGCAGCAGACCCTCCCTCCCAGACCCTCCCACCTCCTGGACAGCTCACTAAGAATGCAGCTTCACAATGGATGCTGTTGTGCCGTGGCGAACCGTTCGTGGCGAACCGTTCACGAACCGTTCGGCCAACCGTTCGGGACATCACTAGTAGTCACCCATTTGTGTGTGTATTTTACACATTGTACTCTTTACTTTTATTTCTGTTTTATTAATATTATAATTATTGCAACTTATATAGCGCCAACAGATTCCGTAGTGCTTTACAATATTACAAGAGGGGGGAATTTAACTATAAACAGGACAATTACAAGAAAACTTACAGGAATGATAGGTTGAAGAGGACTCTGCTCAAACGAGCTAGAAGTCTATAGGAGGTGGGGTATAAAACACATTAGGAAAGGATATATAATTTATTTTTATTAAATATAGAGAAACAAATAAAACAAATGGAATTAAAATTAATATAATAAATAGGATATTTATTAAAACGAAATACAGCTGGCTCTATAGCCATATTCATCTTGAGCAGAACATTTTGCTCAGAATGCATTGAAATTTCAATTAAATGTACTAAATCCACTATAGTGTACTATATGGAGATGTAGAGTTACATACTTCACTGAATCTAGAAAATGGTCCAATTTGTTAATAAAATTGTATGCCATAAAGCAAATGCATGCATTCATTTTAATAATGGATTTTAAGATTTATTCATTTTTGCCTTATTACTGTAAATGTTTAGTAAACTTGCCAAACATTATTTTCAGAAAAGGCTATTTTATGCCAAGCTTGATACATTTAAATCAGTCCTGACCAACGTCTTGTGTGTTAGCTCACATATCCGTATAGATATATGGTCTGGTGAGTGAATTTATAAAAAATATATTACAAAATAAAAAATTAAGTATTTATGTAAATTAAGAGCCATAATAGTCTCTCTGAGCTGTTTTGCACCTCAGTTGGACAAATATGTATTATATATATATATAATCTAATACTAGATCATCATATAAATATACATAATATGTTTAACTGTTCAATGAAAATATTCAGAATAAAAATGTAAAATATATTACAATTTAGTACTTGACAAGCTAAAGTATTATTCTTAAAAGAAAGGGAAATTGATTTTTAAATCTCTTGTGTATATTCTCGTATGCTTCTGTAATTTTTTTAAATTGTATTTATGTATTACAAAAAAAAGTACATTCTAAAGATCAGTAAATGTAATAATGAACAATAACGTTGTGCTGTAATAAATTAATTGCTACACTTTTACTTAATAGAAATACATATATAAAACTCACTCATTAAAAGAACTACATGCAAAACCTTCATTATAGAATTGATGTTTCATTTTACAGCAAGGTTGTTATTGGTCCCCATTTTTAAAATGCTGTTTAGCCATCATTTACAAATTGTAATGTAAAATTCATAAGTAAAATATAAATGTTTCAATTTTATTTAGCTTGATCTATTTAAATGTCACAATGACTATTGATTTGTTCAACATACATGTATTTAAAACATAGAGATTGATCCACAAGAATCAAACGTTACTATTGACCTTCAAAGAAAAAACAGTTAATAAAAGGTAGAAAAGCAGTTTCACAAATGTTGCTGGAAACCATCACATACCTACACTATTCGTGTAGAGCCATGGTTCCAAACCCAGTCCTCAAATACCCCCTAACAGTCCAGGATTTAGTGATTACCCAGTTGTGTCTAAGGTGTTTTTAGAAGAAAAAAACAAAAACACATTAGACACAATAGGGTAAACCTTAAATCCTGGACTGGTAGGGGGTACTTGAAGACTGGACTTGGAACCCCTGGTGTAGAGCTATGAAAAAACCCCACTAAAAACAATATACACTGATCAGCCACAATATTAAAACCACTGACAGGTGAAGTGAATTACATTGATTATATAATTACAATGGCACCTGTCAAAAAGTAGGATATTTTAGGAGCACGTGAACAGTCAGTTCTCGAATTTCATGTGTTGAAAGCAGGAAAAATAGCTGGATGGCTGAGTGCATGTGTGTCTTACCTGGGGAAGAGATGACAGCAGGATGCACTACAGGAAGAAGACAGGCTGGCGGTTCAGTGTTATGCTCTGCTGGAAAACCCTGGGTCTTGGAATTTGAAATGTTCTGCTGGAAAACCCTGGGTCTTGGAATTTATGTGGATGTTACTTTGACATATACCACCTACCTAGAGATTTTTGCAGACTGTGTAAACCCATTCATGGCAATGGCAATAATGCATGCTGCTGCACTGCAAACATTTTTCCGGAATGGTTTGAGGAACATGACAAAAAGTTCTGGATGTTGCCTTGGCTCCAAATTTCCCAGATCCAATTTAACATCTGTGAGCTGTGCTGGAACAACAAATCCAATCCATGGAGGCCCCACCTTACTACTTGCAGGACTTAAAGGATCTGCTTCAAATGTCTTGATGTCCAGATACCATAGGACACATTCAGAGGTTTTGTGGTGTCCATGCCATGATGCATCATAGCTGTTTTGGAAGCATGAGACCTACATGATATTAGCCAGGTGGTTTTAATGTTTTGGCTGATCAGTGTAACTAAATAATTGCATAGGCTTTGTTTCTAGACTTATTAAGTCATTTTCTCCTTACACACAGTGGCATGACACTACAGAAATTTGCATACGTGCCTGTAACTTTGAGTATACTCCATTTAACTTGAATAATTGCAATCTCTCTTGCCATTCAAACTCTGCTTAAATTGCATGTGTATTCTGGAATAGTGCACGTGTCACTGTCTCCTCAATACTGCAGCTGCATGCATGTGTGGTCAGAGGCTTAGAAGACTGTGAACAGAATTGTTGCAAGGCTTGTAACAGCTTATTTAATATGTAATTGCATAACAGAGCTGCCCAGTATCCCACACATCACAAACAGATGTTAAAGAAAGAGTGTTCCCATATCTCATGCCAAGTAGAATAAGTTTTGTAGTTAGTTCTTCTTTGTTCCTGATATCCTTTTTTTTTGCTAATTTCTGATATATTAACTATCCTTATTATTTAACATATTATTTATTCATCTAACTAAAAGCAATAAAATTGCTTGCCATGTTAAGTGAAAATTATCTTTACATACACAGACTGTATTAGAACCAATTAACCTATGTTTGGGTTCAATAAATACCTGAATGTTTTCTGTTTTTTTTTAGCTGCTGTAGAACAATATGTTCGCTAATATTCCCGAATTTTAAAAAAGACTATTGCAAAATGTCATCCTTCTTAATGGTCTCATGGTTTAATTGCACAATAGAGCCATTCCATTTAATGATGAGATATTTCAACCAATACAACCTAACATAAATTGGGAAAATTGTGACTTAAAAACACAATTATATTATTTTTAGTAGGAACACACTAAGCACAAAATCCACAATTGCGCACCTTAGTGGTTATGGTGCATTGCCTCTAAGTGCATCTTCCCCTTTCAGACATATTTGTACAAAAGTAAGGTCTTAATAAATGTTTATTAAACAGTCTATCAGTGACACTCAAGGTTGTTTGGATTAGCCCTTGATTAACTTGATATGTAATGTGGATTGGAATTCCACGAATGCCCAAGAGGAGGGCTGGTTTGTGTCATACTGTGCCAATGCAGTTTCATTTAAATCTTGAGGATGACACCAACTTACGTGTAGCTTTATGACCACCATAACGAGTTGCAATGGCTATAGTGCTCAGGTTATCCTTTTTAAAGGACCACTATAGTGCCAGGAAAACATACTCGTTTTCCTGGCACTATAGTGCCCTGAGGGTGCCCCCACCCTCAGGGACCCCCTCCCGCCCGGCTCTGGAAGGGGGAAAGGGTTAAAAACTTACCTTTTTCCAGCGCTGGGCGGGGAGCTCTCCTCCTTCTCTCCTCCTCCGTTCCTCCTTCTGGGCTGAATGCGCACACGCGGCAAGAGCTGCGCGCGCATTCAGCCCGTCGCATAGGAAAGCATTTACAATGCTTTCCTATGGATGCTTGCGTGCTCTCACTGTGAAAATCACAGTGAGAAGCACGCAAGCGCCTCTAGTGGCTGTCAATGAGACAGCCACTAGAGGATTAGGGGGAAGGCTTAACCCATTCATAAACATAGCAGTTTCTCTGGACCTAGCACCCAGACCACTTCATTAAGCTGAAGTGGTCTGGGTGCCTAGAGTGGTCCTTTAAGTAAATATGTCTTTAGCTAAAAAGTATTTTGACTTGGCTAGATCAGCCCACCCACTGCTCCCTTTATCAAGCTATTCAATTTGACTGAGCTGAACCACAATATGGCTGAAATTTAGCCATCCCAATTTTTTTTTTTCATGCTAAATGGTTCTGATAAAACTAATTATTTTGCCATGCACAAGTCTAAAGTTTTATAAACGAGAAAGTCAATCTCTATTTCTAGGTTAATATACATCTTTTAAACATCAGTGATCACTTACAAAAGTATGGACCCTTTTGGACAGTTCTTTATGAAGAGTGTACTTACTGCCCAAGTAGATATTTCAGAGTTAAAAATTCATCTTGATCAGTTCCACTATGATTAGGACATTAAATTACTATGTGGCAAGTTAATTAGCTCAATTAATCTTGCTCAATTAGAGTGTAACCAGGAAATCAATAGTTACAATAAATTTTGTAATATTGCAAGGGGGTAATTTCTACATCTAGAACCTAAAACTTTTATTGTGTCATATCAGTTCTCTTTGAGATCTTTGTCAATCCTAGGCAGACAGCTTTAATACAATCACCTGAAAGTCTTCACATATGAACTGAAATATTGTGCAGAAAAAACGAAAACAAAACAAATTACATCTGTATACATGTGTATATGTATATAACAACACATGCATATAAAAATGTATTCCTTCCAGGTATTTTGAAAACGTTTTTTTTCCTGGAATATTCTTACTATAAATCAATCAGATGAGTTTATCAGATTTATCAAACCAATAGCATGGTTTTATATGGTAAATGGTCTGTTTTAAGTATACACATACATACATACATATACACACACACAGACACACACACAAATATATACATATATATATATATATATACACACACACACACATACACACACACAAATATATATATATATATATATACATACATACATATATACACACACAAATATATACATACATATATATATATATATATATACAAACATACACACACACACACACACACACACACACACACACAAATATATACATATATTCATATACACATACATATATACACACACACACACATTTGATTATGAACTTTGTGAAAATATGTTTTGTAATAGCGGCTTATTTTTTTTTTGTATGTCCTACATTATCTGTGCTCATCGAAATTATATACACAAATAAAATACATGTTACAATGTGAAGCTAATAACAAATGTCTACCAGAGGTTATATTCCAGCTTTTAAGTATCACTGCAATGTAAAAATGATGTGTCATCCACAAATTGTTAGTCCCTATATTCTCGAACATATCTGACTACTGACCATATTTGAATTGAGCACTATTTTTGCTCAAAGTTGATTTGTTCAATTGTGCAATATGTTCATAAGGTGTAATATGTACAATGTATTTAATGTTTGATATGTCCTGGTTTCTCTTTGCTTATCTGCATACTGTAAATAGGTTTAAATTATATGCTATCAAAATGCATTGTGTTCACTATTAATAATAAATATCATTCATGGTCATAGAAGTTACGATGTGATGATTTATTCAGTAAAAAAATAAAATAATTGCATATGTTGAATATTGTGTTTAATATCTTGATTGTATTTTCTAACTTAAGACTCTCAAATGAAAAATAATGATAATGTTATTACTTATGTTGTGATATATACAGTCAAATACAGTAGTCAACAACAAACAGCTTGACCTACCTGTCATCCTTTGGTTCTTGCTGAAACAGGAAGATGTCAAAGACAAAATAAAACAGAGCAAAGGGTGCACTAGAGCAGTAGAGATAAAACATACATAATTAAATACATAAACATTTAATTAAAGAAAACATGAAAACATTTTGAGAAAGAAAAAGATACCAAATTAAGACAATATAAAATATACAACAAACCTGCAGTCACTGCACAATGTATGAAAAAGCGAATAAAACAAATTTATTGATGAAAACAATAAAAACTAAACAGTAAAACATCTATTTCAGCTACAATTCAGATAACATTAAGATGAATAAATGAACTCACAATTAATACAATAAAATGTGCATGCATCCAAAGTGTTGCATAATAAAAAAATAAAATAAAAGATTTAAAATTGTAACCTGGGGGTAGAATATTGCAATAACCTCTGGACAGAATAGACAGGGGTAGGCAACCTTTTAGCAGTACTGTACCAAAACAAGATCTCAAAGTCCATTGGTGTGCTGGTCCTATTTTTGTTAAATTGATGAATGTATATTGTCGTACTCTGCTTGTGTTATTTATGGGTGCTGCTGTTGCTTTGTAACATTGTATTTGTGCGTATGTGGGCTGTTATATTGAATATGTTCATGAATAGTTTGTGGTATTGTGCATGATACCTATAAATGTGAGCTGTGTATGGGGGCTGCTTGTGAAATTGTGTGTCTAGATGATATATATTGTGTGTATGTGGATTGTCAGTGTGGATTTGTGTGGGGTCAGTGTGTATTATTTGCATGAGGGTGAGGCTTCTTCTGCAGCCCTTTCTACACCTAGCAGTGTGGGTGGCTTCCCTGGGGTCCAGTGGTGACCCAGCTGACCACGTACAGGTCAAGGGCAGAAGCTGTGATATCTGCTGTGGGCTGCTTTACTCCAGTGCACCGTTCATAAGTGCTGGAAGGATGTGAGATAATTTCCTCTAGGTGCTGCAATGTGTAAATTGAGGACTGTCCCACACCACTTACAATCACCAGTCAGGTTGGACTATCCAATATCTGAAGTCCCACTAGGACTCCTACCAGGCCATAGTCTATTGGCTCTGGCAGCCTTGCCATGCAAAGGCACCTAGAGTGCCATGAATGGGACACGTGCTATAGGTTGCTGACCACTGGAATAGAGTATAGAATTTATTTTTAATGGATAAAAAGCAAACAAGTGAGAGAAACCCAAGCAGAGAATTCTAACTCTCCAAGATAACAAAAGAAAAAAGCAGACTTATCAGGTCCTAACAGAAACATTTCCAGTGATATGTACAATTTATCCAACAGTCATCACTGTTAAGCTGGCTTTCAGTTGATGGGGATATAAAGTGCAATCATTACTTTCTTGGTTGGTGAGTGCCATTGATAGTCAGTCAGTGGGCATTCACATAAGTGTTCTGGAGAAAGGGCCTGCCCTGGAACACAGCAACAGCGGCGACTGCAGAATATATTTGGGCAGTGGAGTGTCCCTTTAAATAGCAACTGTTCTCCATTACAAACACACTAACGCCTATGGAAAGGAATAGCCAAAAGGAACTACCAAAGCCAACAGGATTTAAATATGCAATTAACACTTTTATGCATATTATTTATTGGCACTAGTTATACCTGATGCAATGGAAAATTGCAATACAAAATAAAACCATTTCAATGTATAGATTATAGATTTTGAGCCAAGTGCAATACTAGAAAGGATGCTTTGAAGTGTGGGAGGAGGTAACCCCTAACACAATATTCACCTAAAAATTTAGCAACCCATAACAGAACTTAGCTTGTAATATTTGTTAAAAAAAAAAGTTGTCAACAACCATCTATAGATTATTTTTATTATTTATATAGCGCCATCAGATTCTGTAGCGCTGTACAATGGGGTAAGATAAACAGATAAAAAAGTGTGTTCACTCCATGCTGTCACTAATATATATATATATACATATATATATATATATTAATATATTAGGTAATGAATCAAAATCTACTCCCATAAGACTTGTTTGAATAAAAGTAACTTTGATGAAATTGCTACAAAGTTGCTTGTAATAGATTCTTTGTAGCGATAAAGTGAAAAGTGCAAACAGTTAAATAGTGATCCAGAGATGTTACTATTAAGACCGCTGAGATAGACAGAGATCCCCCCCCCAAAAAAAATTTAAAAAAATTATGTCCTCAACATGTCTTTGAGGGCACTAAGCTGCAGTTATCAGCTGGACTGAGTTAATAATCCTGAGCTAGTGTGACAGATTTGTAAGTAGTCAGGTCACCTTTAGTGTTTGCTAGCTGACTAAATCGGCTGTGAAACAAGTTCCATTGATCATTTCGCTGGTCAGGTAGCTTATCAAGGGACAAAAATCTGGAGTAACTACAAATGGCTTCCTTCAGATTTTTAAAGGTTTCTTCAGCTTCTGGGCACCATTTAAGTGAGAGGGACTTGCCAGTAACCCTTTGTTAGATCTAAGGTTGTTAGATAATGAGCTTTACTCAGTCTTTCTATCAACTCATCAATTCTTGGCATTGGATAAGCATCAAATTTTGATAATATAAAAGAAAGGAAGGAAACCGCACTTTATGTTAGTTATACATACATACACTTGGTATCCCTTAGTTGGTGTAAGTAATATATCCTCAAAAAAAAACAACACAAAGAGAAAAATACAATAGTGCAATATGCTATAACAAGTTGAAGACGGGAATGGTGTGTAAAGTAGAGGTATTTTAAACTCACATTTGGTAGAGCTAATCAGGAGCTCTACCTTAACTCGCACGGACGGTACAATCCCCATCTCAGGATAGGAGGCTCGAACTTTTCATTACTCCATTGGTGTGGTGACGTAAGTAAGGTGGAAACAAAAGAGAGAAACTCCAATAGTGTAGCAACTCTGATTCCAAATGTAGAGAGAATAAATGAAAGTAATTGTACTCACATTTGTTACAGCAGACAACTTGCTCTAGTGTATAAAGCTTGTAGTGTGATGGGATTCCAGCATGGTTAAAATTTAGTAGGCCAAAATCTCCATGTGGCATATGTGTATGTTGTGTCAGTTGGTTAGCTACATGTAGCTAGGATACTGTCATTAGTGTACTGAGCATGTGCAGGAATGCAGGAACTGAAATTGCACTTATTTCCTTTGTCTTGGATGGGCCATGTGGTTTGACTAGATGTACAAGTCTATATTCTGCTCATTGATTGGTTAAAGGTATATGTGGGTGTAGCTATTAATGGGAGGAGTTATGTGCCTATATAGGGAGCCTGCACTATTGTTCAGGGCTCAGAACTTGCTGTATTTTTGGTGACATTAGTCCCTCTGAGTCCCGATCGGTGATCCAATAAAGAATCTCTTCCTTCCTGAAGAAACCTGTGTCCATCCCTCTGTGCTTTGCTTCCGTCAGTTTCTCCGGTATCATTTGGTGCATTGGCCGGGAAGCTCATCGTTCAACGGTAGCTGAGAGGCAGAGGCGTGAGACGGTCTATCTTTGCCCACGTTCTCTACGGCTGCACCCCTGAACTTCTGCGTGGACCTCCCTTCGTCTCGGCGCCACTGGTCTGTTGTCCAGGAGATCATCGGCCTCTACGTAAGAAGTGCTGGGGTGTCCCCGTCGATGAGTGTGAACTCAGGTTCAGGAACGAGGAGGTAAGACAACTGCTGTTTTAGACGGCAGACCCACTAGGGGTATACCGATTGTGCGGTAGGCCCAAAAGGGGTTTAAATCTGTGTATGGAATCTGCCCCCTCTGTCGGAGGGAAGGAGCGAAGGCGCACCGCTCGATCGAACGCTCTTTAGTAAGACCGTTTTGATCTGGTTAGTCAGGCGGGGTCCTGTGTAAATAGCCCTAGCCGGACACCGGTGTCTTGTCTAGACTAGCATTCTAGGGTGTATATTACGTTCGCTAGGTCGGAGGGACCGGGAGACTAAGCGGCGCCTGTGTAAATTCGGTTCGCTAGCTCTCAACCTATCTTGGCTAAGTGGGAAGGCGTGTAAATTTGGAACCCACTAGACTTTTGATAGAGTAAATAGACTAGAAGGGCAATTTCGCCCTCTAGTTCGCTATATGTGGTGCTTGGGCAGTGTGGCTAACCAAAACGGGTGTATATAGTTTTAGGTAGTCTATTCAAGGTACTGGCCAATAGTTTAGTTGGGATTATTGTAAATGTTGTTAAATATATTGTAGTTGGTGAATTGGTTAACTTGTATGTCCTACTAGAAAGTTAGAGCTCTGCTGTCTAGTGGGAGTGTAAATTGTGTGTATAACTGTAAAATAGCGCACGGTACCATAACTACTGACATGTACCATAACCACTGACATTGTGTAAAAATTACTAACAATTGCTGTTTTATGTTATATGTATAATACCATAACTGTTACTAACTGATCTGTGACTTTAAAACTGTATTATAACCACTTACTAACTGTACCATAACCACTGACTGTAAAGATGAGGTTACTAGAATGTGATATAGTTGGTTAGTCAAAAGTTGATTTATAGTACAGATAATTGTAGAGATGAATTTGTTGAAATGTTATGTGATCGGTTAGTTTATATGGATTAATAGCGTGGATAGTTGTATGGTTTGAATAATAGTTACATTGATAAGTGTATAGTCTTTGGTGGGTTTTTGATTTAATTTCGTGTGTGCGACGTCGTGATATTGTTGAGCATGTGAGGATCCTGTGTGTGTGTTTGGGCCTAGTGACTGCGCAATGTGTTGCTGGTGATAAGGAGATTGGTGTGACTGTTGAAACTGTGTGTATATTTGTACAGCTTTTTGAATCAGACGTTCTGTTGAAATAATCTGATTCACTTGGC